TGCTGGCAGTGAATTTTTTTTCGAATATTATTTCTCTCGGCAAACCATTTTTTTTTTTTTTGATGTGTCATATTTGTCAGTGCGATAATGTCATTTCCTGAAATTTTAATTTGTGTTTATTTACTATCAATCTATCCTTGCTTTTTTGTTTCCGCTTCTCAAATTCTTCAATGGTGCACCTGGCAAACAAAAACGATGGAAAACGACCAAAGTGCAAATTCACCCCTTTGCATATTTCAAAAGAAAATATCATAACGAATTATTTGAGTGTATTGATAAAATGAAATGACTTAAACTCAAACTATTGCTATTAATATTGATATTACTATTGAGATAATTAAGATAGGCTAATTTTTTAACGGTTGACAGTTTCGTTTGACTTTCTCCGTTAAAAAGAAAATGTTATTTTTAAATCCAACTGCATTTCTTGTATTACATTCTTTTTCAAAGTAATTGGCGCTTTCGAAAGTGTTTTTCAATAAGCAACAATTAGGTTCGATTTCCCATGGCATTAGCAGGCTCGCTTTCAATTGAATTTCTTCCTGAACCTGATAATATGTTGAGACTTCACCGCAATTACCTGCATCTTCCTAGACATGAGCAATGTTTTAAATTAATGTTGGGGGTTGATATCGGCCTCCAGTTATTAATGAACATAACTCATAAAATTAGAAATTAATGTTTAAACTTTTTCTACTCTTTATTGCTTAGACTTTACCAAGAGTAACGAAATAGGATAAAACATGTGAGAGTAGGTCATGTAAAAATAAAACGAAATCTCCTCTCATAAACAATATTTTTTTCGGGTTTTAAATTTTGGAACCGATAGTTTTGTAATATTCATGAATATTAATAATTATATTAAATAAAATTAGAATGGTCGCCCAGTTTGTACCAGCTTCCGCTTCCTGATACAATGGCTCCCCTTTTTGGGACATTTTGACATTGAATATCTACAGTTTAACTAATAACTTATAATTATTGATTAACTTAACTTTTTGACCACTTGTAACAAGGAAATGCACACGACAAATATTCTACTTTGATTCAGATGCTTTTGTTTGTTTAGGCTTTTCGCCGTCTTCAATGGTGAATCTGCACAATTTTATTAAATATTTTGCAAATATGTGTGGTGATTAGTGACCGTTAATCGATATTTATTTAGAAATCGTGAGATGCGGTCTGGTGTGATGTAGGTTTCAGAAAAACATTTTCTTCATCGTGCCAACGTGGGATTTTGCTATTTTGTGTTTATATATGTTGGATTTTGAAGGGGTGGGGAATAAAAATATACCGATATAAAATCCAACGTATATAAACACATAATAGCCAAATCTCATTGGCACTCTCGACACGACACGCAAGAATGGCACAATTACACAGAAGACAAACACTTTGAGTGAGTGGAAATACTTTGATTGAATATATAAAAAAATATATTTTGCATTGTATAAATTCACTTTTCCACATCCAAAATGTAATTGTTATATGTAAACAATGTTTGTAAATCCCAGGCCCTGAAGATGATCTCAATAAAGATCGAAACGTTGGCACGATAAAGAAAATGTTTTTTCTGAAACCTACATCACACCAGGCCGCATCTCACGATTTCTAAATACATTTTGCAAATAATTCTCACGCTTTTAAAATTCAATCAATAAAAGCAAAACTAAAACGTTTGGTAAGAAGGATTCTTTTGGGGCTTTTGCAAACATAAACCACTTGACCCACATCGATGCTCATTACGTTTTCTGAGCCGTAATTTCGCCCGTTTCGGCCGAAGGTATCAATCATCTGCACCGACCGGATCGTCCGTTTTGCAAGGAGCCATTAATATTGGCCCAGAAGTTTCTAAGCCGCTGTTGACCTTTCGTCAACGGCCTATAAATCAAATGATCATTGTAGTTAAAAAATCCTCTTGGTACTTTTATTGCCGTCCGGGTAATTTATTTCATCGTTCGGTATACACACACAGATACAAAATGAAAGAAAACGCTTACTGCCGGGTGCTTTGCAATCATGATTAACAAAAACCAAAAATGATTGGTAAGGATACTTTACCTACGTTCTGGCAACCCTAACATCACGAATCATATATTTCTGCGGAGATAGTTTATTTGGCATTTAAATTTTAAGCGCTTGCCCAGCAAGGGAAATTTGATTAGTTTGCTTGAAAATAAACACCGCAGAAGATAAATTGCCCTTGCTAATGTGAACTTAATAATTGCTAGTTTGACAACAGATTGATTTAAAATCTGTGTGTCATGAAATATGAGTTAGTTATCTAAAGTGCTGGATCGATTTTATAAAGCCACTTTTGTATGTCGTAAAGAAAGTTAAATTAGAGAAATGAAGCATTGGCAATGATTATAATTAATTGCGTTTAGACAATATAACCATCTAAAGCATAAAAATAGAATATATTAAAAATGAGTAACTTCTGGAGGTTTAGGATTATAGCTTTCAAAATTGAAGCATGCCCGGCTTGATAAATCGTTATGATAATCTACTGATATCTTTATTTTTTATTGCCTACCATGAATCGATGATCTATATGTCTATCTGCTTTGATGTTAGATACAGAATGAAAAGAAATTTTATTTTTTTGAAACCTTGATACCCTTCCATTACGTGAAAACGCTTAGGGAAAGTATAAATCATGCCAAATGTTTATGGAAAAAACGGCGGCTTAGAAATTTAACTATTTGCATACTGGGCAGTTCATCTTACATGTCTTCGGGATGTGCGTGAGAGGATGTAAATTAGGGTGAACGTGATGTGACGTCGGGCCTGGGTCTGGTCGCATCTTCATCCCGTTAGTTGTGCAAAGTCTGTCCCTTGACGTCACAGGAATTTCGTCACAGGTCGTCATTGTATGCAAAAAGTCTGGCCTCATCATGCTCACGATGTCCGTCCGGCACGATACGGAGACTTTTTTTTCAATTTTGTTATGCCGATTGCTCGTGCTTCCAATCCGCCGGCCTGGGAGACGTTTTCTGCTGGATAAGCCACGGCTCGATTTCTATCTGATAGTCTTGGACAAGTGGATTTCAAAAGCCCCGGTTCATCATAATCTGCGTGTATTTCGCACTGCCGCATGTTCTTTAAGTTCAGATAGGGATTCGTTTAAAATACATGGTGCAATTCATATTTAAATTTAATATTGTAAAGGGATTCAACCGGATACGAATAATAATAAATAATGAAAATACCACAAAATTTTCTTATTTAGCAATAACAATATTTAATTCTAAATATGTAGATTAATGCAAATAGCTTTTTTTATCCAAAGGTCAAATAACACTTTCTTTTTCCAATCCACCTTTATAAAAAATAATCATTACCTCAAGTTGTTCGTGGTGATTTTACTTGGTATTATCGAGATAAATTTATTTTGTATTATCGTCTGGAATCGAATCTAATAAAGGTACTTGGGGTCAAGGGCATAAAAGAGGAGAAAGTACTTCTATCGAACGGTTATCAGCAAAGGTGGGTTTGAATTTTTATTGAATGGATTTCTCGGTGTGACGATTATGTTCTAGTTGAAAAACTTTCTCGTGGAAATTTTTACGTAAACTACTGGTGCGGCATTGTGCGATGGAAAACACTGTTATATGTTAACAATCGAGGTTTATCGAATTATTTTAAACTTCATCGATGAAATGTGGTGTAGCAGTATACTCCCATAGGTATTGTTACACAATAATTTAGTTGATTTCGTACTTACGATTCAATGCTTTAGATTTATTCGGGGATGTTGTATTTTGTTATGTAATTCTTTCCATACAGCCTTAGATACATTATGTAATGAGCTGGTTTTAATTGACATAGATCATGTGTCGTGAGGGGATTTAACAACTATTGTTTTTTCCCCCAGTGACTTATACGCGAGGACCTGTGGTAGACTTGGTAAGGAGGACTAGGTCATTGTATTCCTGTTGGAAGGTTTAGCGGTGCCCCACAGTCCTAGTAGGTCCAGACTAGTTTTACTATTGTCTTAGAGATTTTCGGTTTGTTTTTTGTTGAAACCTTAGATTTGCGTGACAGCAGTCTACAGAGTAGACCTAAACGTTTAATTCCTGTCGATTTAGTCGTGCGTGTTGGTTCCAGGTTAGCCATGAGTCGAGATGGAGTCCGAGGTAGCTGACGCAATCTATTTTTGGAATGGGAATATTATTGAAGAATATTGCATGAGTTTTGCTTCAAAGGGTAAATGATGTATGGGTGCTTTTGCTTTCATTAAGTTATGCCAGTGTTTGTTCCATTCGGCTATTTGCAGGACATGTACTAAAGCTCCTCCGAAGCAATTGTGAGATCGGAAACAGAGCATAGAACAACTGTCTTTAGCTAAGGATACAAGGATGATCGAGGATGAAATTGATATAACCTACACCTATTGTATAACTGATATAAAGGATCGGTGTAAGTACGCTGCCCTGAGGTACTTCCACTCCCAATCATTTTGCGGATATTGATTTCGGGGTTCATATCATTTTTACGAATTAAATTAAATTAATTGTTTTCTTGGTTTGTTAAAAATCAAAATCAAAATGTCACCTCCTTTTTCGTTTTAGGAAATAGAAGTACAATTATTTTTATATTACATATTTTTGCAAGATAAATGTTTGGGTTGTCAAATAAGTATGAGTTCAATTATCTCCATACTAGATTTATTTAAAAAAAAACTCTACCCATTTTAAAGGACATTCCCTTTCATGTTTATTTGAAGGTTGTTGAATGCATTTAAATTTTGGTCTTTATAAGATTAAATTTTTTTATTCAAATATTTTGTAATTTTATTCCATGACTTAAAGGTAATAATTTTTTCACTGTGAGCATTAAATTTGAAGACGGACTTTCTAACAAATATATCATTTCGAATAATTTGCATATCCGATTTATATTCTCAAAATCTTATTTACCGGATGCCTGTTCACTTTCGCGACCGGATGGGTTTTATATACTGTCGTTTGATGAAATTTCTTAAATAAAAGTCTTACCTTGTACAGTTTATCCTTGTTGTACCATACATCCTCCTCTTCTTCGGGTTGAGGGTAGCCGGGTGACAGCTCGAGGTTCAGGTCGTCCCTCGAGCGTGATAGGATCCTCCGCCTGGATACCATGTCGCCCTGAAGTGTCGGACCGCAGCTGAAAACAAAAAGAAAATGGAAATGAGGTGAACGACTCCTTTTAGGCTTTGGCCGGCTCCCCGCAAACAAACCATTTGACGTTTTTTCAAACAGTTTATCGCCTTGGGAACACGTACTCGCTTAAAGACGCGGTCTCTTCAATTGTCCATTCTAGGGGTAAAAACTAGTCTCGCGTGTGGTCACGCTGGCAATCGTGGTTTTCAATATTCAAGCTTTTCTCTGTTAAGATTTTTAAAAAAAGACCGATATCTGTATGATCAAGAAAAACAGGAAAACTCACCAAAATTTCTATTGAAATCGGAAGGTATACGTCGCATTACTCATAAATATGACTAGCACAGAAAACTTGTATCCCTCAATTTACAAAAATAAATGTTAATTATGTATATTAGAAAGAAATACTAGAAACATAAAGTTAGAATATTCTCGTTATATTATATCTCTCAAAAGCATTTTTTCAATGAGTCTCAACATACAGCGAAAAAGGATGGATCTTGATCATAAAACAATCGAGAAAGAAATCTAACAGATTAGTTCTACTCAGAAAACAGCTTTTATGTATAAAAAAAGATATATTCATAACGATAAAAATTAGAAAAATAATCAAAATTGGTTTGTACATTTTCAAGAGCCTACGTTACTCTCAGATTTAACTGGTATGATTCATTATACAATCATTAAAACATATATAAAAATTTTATGATTGTGTGTATTGTAAGAGGCATAGAAGTGGTACACAACAGAAAATTGCATAGAAACTTAAAATAATGCAATATTTCCATCACTGCACTTTCTCAGTACAGACACTCCTGACTGTCGTATGATGACGGATGACAAAAAAGGTGAAAATTTTGAAAACCATTCTTAACCAACACAGAAAAAAATGAAAACTAATAAACCATTTGCACCAAACAAACAACTGAAAAATAGGTTTTGTTTGACGATAGTTTAGCCAATTCCGATAACTGTAATGACGAACACCCTGTTAATTAATATAATGTACTTAATTGTAAAGAAAACCGGTAAAAATAAATATAAATGTTGTACACAATACAAAATGACACAGGAACTAAATATAGTGCCATTATTGATCATCTTGGCTGACATATTATCAGACCAGACCACCCTGTCTTTCATATAACTAAAAAAACGTGCGAAAAAATGATAGACAATAGATAACACGATCATAATGTAAAAAAATAATAAATCGTTGGCAAAAACAAAACAGCTTTTTACGATAGTTTCATGTATTTCACCTCAACTCCATATCGGGAGCAAATAAGAAAGCCGCCCAATATAAGAATTATGCTCGAGTACGGCAGATAATCTTTGGGTTCCCTGTACTGATTTTTTGAAAAAATGGTTGTTTCATTACATTGTCGTCATTACATAGTTATAGTCATATATATTTATATATCATTAGTTATAGTCATTATATAGTTCATTTTATAGCCGAAGGTTTGAAGGTTATGGTTCGAATCCCGCTCCTGACACTGACTTTTTTTATCTCAACCAATACCTTACATAAAGATTAATTAAGTGAAAGAAGATATTTGGTCAATCGGACCACGAAATCAAATGGATTATAGATAGTACCGATACGTGCGTTGCGAGCGAATGTATTTATTGGCGTGAATGTGTAGTGTAAGATGGCTGATAGCGGAATATCGAGTACACCATTGACCCACAATTAGGTTAGTTATATATGTAATAGGTGTTAAGGATGATGGAGTAATATCGAATACTCCAACACTCTAATTCAGAGAAAGTTATTTAAATAAGAAAGAAAGAATTCAAGAATGAGTGAGAGTGTGAATAGGTTTGGATTTAGAAACTGTATGCGTTCGTGATGAATTGACCTAGCAGTTGACAGCACCGGAGCTCAACTGGAGGACAAGAACGAGATCTGACCCTGGACTGCCAACACCTGAGTGGGCGATATTCGAGGCCTCGATAGTTTAATAATAATCTATAACTGTTTAATGATGAAAGCCAGCATTCTACTTAAATTTCTAAGTAACTGTGACGGGACGGCTGAATTCAAAAATAAATCTTTTTAAAAACTACACTTTTTTAATTTAATAAATGCAACAAACATAGAACATAACCGTTTCTCTTTTGACTTTAAAATAAAATAAAAAATAAAAACGAAACTTACAAAATTTAAAAGCTATGGAAAGGGGAAAAATATGATAGGAAGGATCACCTCACTAATCCTCGCCAGAGTCCATACAACACAGACCAAAAACTGTGGTCACCTCTGCCATGAGCATCGTCACCCCTAGTGTACACATTTAATCTTAACAGCTTATGACGTTTAGATTTCTTCTAGGTAAAAATGATAACTTAATATAATTCATTTTAAAGAAAATAAATATAGAAACGTAAATTTAGGCCATCCCTCAGGTTGACTGAATAGCTGTCTATTATATGCATTTATTCAATTTATCCTTAAGTTGAGCAAAACTTAATATACTTAATTTTTCAGGGCCTAAAGTATCAGCACTACAATAAACATAGAAATAGTACATAATCGAAAATACATAAAAACCTAAAATTCATCTTCGTAGTGTACTGTCAGATCAGACTATTTTGACTGCCATAAGCATTTCTTCAGGAATAATACACAAGCTTATTGGGGGGGGGGTCTTTCCTAGACTTTCAGCAAATGTAGGCTTTTCTTAGATTGAGTACATAGTACATCAGACTTGTACTACAACTCTTGAATGAAAATTACCACTGAATATAATTTGTTTTACCATTACAACTTTTAAGTTATGTGTATTACAATAAATATACAAATAGTAATAATATAAAAAATATATAGAAACTTAAAATAAGGTCATCTTTGATCTATCTCATACCAAGCGAATCTGCTAGTCATAAACATTTCTGTATTTCAATATCTTCAGTGGTTGTTCCATAAAAAATCGACAATGTTCACATCAGGATGGTCAACAGCGATCACGGAGGTAATAAATGCTAAACACTTACAACAACAAAGTAAACAAAAGGAAAAAAATCAGTTACAACAACAACAGTTCTGAAAGACTGACCACGTAACCATATCGCGTTTGTTGTGTCTTGTTATCAAATCCCGACTGCTATTCACCGTTTTAAATCTTCGTTACGAAGAAAACATAGATGTGGCATGTTGTGCAACCGTTTTAGAAAATATACGGCTTTGGATTTTTTTGTATGTAAAGGTCTTAGAAGGTGAAACCGGGACCTTTCAGACGTCGGGTAATTACTCACTTCCCCGGCCAGTTTCCCTTTTGGCGGCTGGGAAGAACGGGTTTCGCTTACATTAGGTCTCATCTTCAAATTTTGAACCTAGAGTAATCCAGATCCGACTCGTGGACGTTTCAACCAAGGCTAGAAGGTGAATACAATTAACTTTTGGACGAATATTTTGCCTTCGCGGTGATTTATTCATCTTCATATGGGGATTTCAAAAAACAAAAATAAAACTATTTTTAGGGAAGAAACCGACTGTCATATCCAAATGAAATCAACAAACCCGGATATTATTACTATAATTAAAAGGATTTCTTTTAAATATTTCTTCCTCCACATAGCATTTACTGAAGATTAAATGTAATTTACGTAAGAATCAGACTAATTCTTTTTCAAACAGGCATGATTCACGTTTATCCTTTGATTTCTAGCTCACAAAAGCATATCTGTTTGGAAAGTTCATATAGCTGACGATGAAGAATAGCAATTAACAAGAAACGAACAGCAAACTTTACAATTGAGTGAAATGATAGCTGAAGAAGAATATGTTACATGTTGAGAAGAGGGAGAAATAATCCTTTGTTCATATAATAATTAAGTAAGTGTTAACATAACACTTCATTAAGTACTATTCATATAATAAAGTCGCAGCTTTCTTTTATGTGAAATTTTTTCTACTAGACCGTGCAAAAACAGATATCTTGAAATAGAATTCAAACTTTTAGGTATTTAATTGTTTTAGAATTTGTCTAAATAAAAATAAGTATTTATTTATATTATTTATTAAATATTATTATGTATTATTTATTTTATTAAGATATTCATGGATAGCTTCTTCACTACGATCATTAGGATGTGTAAGCTTGTTACATTATCATAATATTTCTGACAAAACCAAACGTATAATTTCATACTTATGGTATTTGTCTAAACATTATATAAAAAAGAGTTGGAAAAAAAAAGGTTTTAGTAGTGCGTACTTCATATTGAACAATAACTGACCTAGCAGCTAAGTTAATAAACATCGGTAATGTGAACAATTTCTAGTTCAACTATTAATTGTTGTTTTATAACGTAAAGCACTAAACAAGGTGTACTATATATATACAGAAACTCGATTGAGTGCAAAACATGTTTTCTTTTGGGCAAAATCTGTGATCCGAAATATTACATTTTCACCGATCAATCAAGATTATCGAAACATTCAGTATCTTTTGCCAGATAAAGTGTGGGGCAACATTATATTTTGAATTTAATTAAAATAGCTAAAACATTCTTTGCACAGGGCATACGCATGTAAACCGTCTGAACACATATTTGCGCAATGAATTTAAAAACATAAGAAAAAATACAGATGATGTCTTTGTTTCAAAAACGGTTAACAAACACGATAAAAGGCCTCTTTCCCATGTTACAAACAGTTTAAACATTTAAACGAAAATTGCTAGCGTTTACACCATTGTGACAATCGTTATTTTGTCCGCAACATTTTTTTTCTTCTCTTCTTTATAATAATGCTCAGAGCGAATAACGCAACAGTTCTGTTATTATGAGCGATTGTTTCTCAGCGTCTCGCGGTAATTAAGGGACGCAAGTGATGGCGAAACGCGACGGGAACCTTCCTTGTCCCGAATTCCCGACAATGACTCCCTGAGTATCATTTTGAGGAAACATTTCATACGAGAAAACGGAGAATGTACGAAATTATTAAATATCTCGTGCTGTAACTTCCCAATATGCCCATATGAACATGACTTACTA